ATTGATTCTTGGTTTGTGCTGGGTTCTGGTTGGTTAGTCTGAGTAGCTGAGTCCTGACTGGGTCCTTGTCCAAGCAGATTTCTGATGTGCCCATGTTTGGTCTTGCTTTGAGGAGTATCTTGGTGTGGTGCAAGGCATATAATCAGGCTTTGTTTACCTTCAGACTTTCTTATTTCTTTTTGAAATTGTTGGGATGTTTGTGGATCTCAATAGCCTCTCTGTGCAGGTGTATGTAATAGTTTGATATTGTTGACAGCACTTATGCCCCTCGAATTCAACTTTATGATCATTATAGTGCTGATGATTTTTCAGGCTGTCCTAGTTTGCAATGCCTCTCGTGTTCCTTCAGTCAGGCATGGAAACTGTGTTTTGTGGTGCCAGGGTATATGTGTCCACAGCTACAGGGGATGCAATAGACCCTGGATGCTGTGAGCAGGCCTCTGCTGTCCTTGGTGTTCTAGGAACTTTCCAAGTTCTTTACTCTAGCTCCAGATCACAAAGGGGTCATCTACATACTGGAACCATGGTGATGGTTTTAGGAGTGCCATGTCCAGTGCCTTTTGTTCAAATTTTTCCATGAAGAAGTTATCTATGACCGGACTCAGGGGGCTTCCCATACCGACTCCCTCTATTTGTTCATAACATTCATTATTTCATTGGAAATAGCACATAGTGAGGCAGTGGTGAAACAGGCTGGTGATGTCCTCAGGGAAGATTTCTTTAATATGCAGTAATGTCTCCTTGATGAGCACATTAGTGAAGAGGGACACCACATCAAAGCTAATCAGTTTGTCATCTGGACCAAGACTGAGCTTTTTCAGTTTCTCAATGAAATGGGCTGAGTCTCCGATCTATGTGTGATTTGTCCAATATATGGTTGCAGGACGGTTGCCAGGTATTTGACAATGTGCTTTGTGGGGGAGTCAATGGCACTAATGATTGGATGTAATGGCACCTGTTCCTTATGGTTCTTGAGAAGCCCATATAGCTGAGGTGGCAGAGCTTCACTCCTGTATAGATTTCTCTGTACATCAGATGAGAGTGATGAAGTCTTGATAAGGCAGTTACTGTAGTTTTTAGTAGCACTTTTCTTGTGGGATTGCATTTGAGTTTTTTGTAGGCTGTCAGGTCTAATAGATCCTGTAGTTAAATAATACTGTAAAGTATTTTCTTCTTCAAAGAGATTTTATTTCTATATTTTCTTCTCTTGTAATCCATTAT